GCTTTGAACACTCTAATTTTTTCACAGTAAAAGTCCTGGTTCCCCCCACAGCCAGTGAAGGCCATGAGGTTCCCCAGAAGGAAAGGTCCAGCCGGACCAGTACTCGCGGTGAGGCGGACCGGCCAGCCAGACCCAAGGTTCAACTACGAGCTTTTTAACTGCAACAACTTTAATATACGCTATTGGAGCTGGAATTACCGCGGCTGCTGGCACCAGACTTGCCCTCCAATTGTTCCTCGTTAAGGGATTTAGATTGTACTCATTCCACTCGCCCGAAGCCTTCCATGAGCTTTCTCCTAGACTATACCTTACTACTCCATCTACTCAGGCCATTCGACATCCATTTATAACTCATTACAGCCCGTCAACTAGTGTTTGACATGCACCGTAACACTTGTAGTTGTAGTGCTGGTCGACGCATTCATAAACCTGATCTAGGTACCCGTACTGGTGCCCTCGCTAAGCAGGTATCTACCGGACTACCAGGGATGCCATCCACGCACTTGTGCGCATTGAAAAAGCCCAAAAACCATGGTGTGTCACTGGAATCTTCACTCATCGATGTCCAAATAAGCTCGGCGCCAAGGCCGAGACTAGTCCCACCCGCTCAGTCCCGGACCCAACCTCCCGCTTCTCCAAACCTTAAATTGACTCCGAACTCCAACTCCTTCCTGTGCGGACTCGGGAGTCAGGCTTTTGCAAGTCTCCTGGCTGTGCCGAACTAGAGATTACGCCCGTCTGAAGGCGCGAAGCGAAATCTAAGACCCCAGCGCTGCTTCCCAGGTAACCAAGACTAGTAGCCTGCTGGTTGTTCGCTAATCGCTAACAAGAGAGGGAAGAGAGGGCAATCCGTGTCGCGCACTACTCGCAAATGCTGTGGATGGGTGTTACCCAAGGTACATCCCTCAAAACCAGCTCTAGCTAACGTGAGGAAGCCAAGTATGTGCGAGGATGAGTGTCTTTAAATCCATGAGCTCCTCACTAAATCCTCGATATGGAGCGGGGCCGTATGTTTCATGAACTGCTTCTTGACGATGCGCTGTCCGGTTCCTGTGATGAACGACGCATTAGCCTTAAATCAAAGCAGTGGAGGATAAGCTTGTCGTGTCTCACTCGAAGGAGTAATGAGTCTCCAGACGAGAAGGAACTTTGCCTAGGTGGAAGGTGTCTAAAATATATATCTACAGTAGTCGTCGTAGTTGTAGTTGAGACGGCCGTTCAACACAGCAAAATGAGGTCGTATTGGTGCTAACTACTCTAGAACTTTAAGCGTAAGGGGGAAAAAAGGAAAACAAGAAGTGTTGTGGGCGCTCGCTTGAAGGAAACGACAGCAAAGCAAACGAAACAAACGTGGTCACATGATCCTAAACAGAGCCGCCGTCACAGTAGTAGAATTCATTATCCTGATAAAGCCGGTTGTACTAATGACCTTGCTGTCCAGGCGTTCTCTTAGTCCCGAGAGAGGCTATTCTCATACATACAAACATCGAAAACCTACAGGAACGTGGTGTTGACCCTGCTGGGTCCCCGGATTCTCGCCACATGCCTCCGTTGCCACGTTGCCTCTATCCGGCCTTCGTCATCACGGTGTCATTGCCACGACCGTGCGAAAAGCTTCATCATCGAAAAGCCCACCGAAAAGCCTCCCCGTTCCTGCCCCCCAGGTCCCTTAGCCTCCCCGAAGCCGTACCTGGCTCTGCCTCATGCTGCATTTGTGGTTTCTGCGTGGTATCGTGCTTTGCTCAGTCCGTGCCTGGCTTCCCTTGGATCGCCGCGGATCTGTTTCGTGGCTATATATCTTCGTGGTCTGCAGTCAGGGGTGATCCCCGGCTGCAGCTTGCGTGCTCTGCATACCCATCGTCTTTCCCCTCTATCTGCTCATTCGTCTAGAGGCGGGACCTCTCTGAATTGGTCCAGGAGCCCCGTTTTAATCAGGAAGTCAGCGACGTAGCGAGCTGCTGCCGGCTCGCTCACCAGTGCGTCGTAATCGTCCCAGTTGACCCCAACCTTGTGCCTCCGGAGTCGTTGCCGGAGTTCCAGTTGGAGCCCTCGGAGCCTCTCACAGTCAAAAAGGACGTGCTTTGGGGTTTGGGACCCCCTGTCACACCCGCATCTGTCCGAGTCCCTCGCCTTGATCTTGTACAGGAAGTGGTTTAGGCCGATCCCGCCCGTGCGCAACTGAATCAAAGCCGAGCTCAGGGGCTTGCTGAGCCCCTCGTAGAGCTTGAGTGTCGCCTTTGTCGGTTCGGGGACGAGGCGTTTGGTCGGCTTCGCGAGGGTCGGTTGCTGCTTCCATTGTCTCCTCCACCGCTCCTGGGTTAGTCGGCGTGCGGTCCTCTTGGCCGCAGACGCCAGGGCTACCTGCCTGTCCGTTGTTTTCTGGCTCTCGGCGGCCGCCTTCGCTGCTTCGTCGGCGAGCTCGTTGCCTCGGACGCCCTCGTGGCCCGGGATCCAGTGGTAGTGGATCTCGATGCCCTTCTCGCGGGCAGCTGGAGGCTGCCCATCAGAGCAGCCAGCACATACTGGCCCGATGACATCTTCGGGGCCCGTAGGGCCTTGAGCGCCGCCTGGCTGTCGCTGAAGATGTAGATCCTCCCCCCTCTCTGCCTGGCCGCGTCCGCGAGCCGAGCTCCGCTGTGTACACGTTGCTGACCGTCTCGGGGCCGAGGTATTTCTGCCACCTCCTCCCCTTCACGCCCCCGAAAAACAACTCCCCACGCGCGAATCAAATTTTTGAAATTTACGCAACCACCACAGGGCCTGCGGGCCTCACCTCTCGTATAGTTATATTTAACGCCTCTGGCGACATTTTGATACCAATTTTGAGGGGTCTTGCCCCCTCGTGGTGTTGAAATGGCGCCTAGGTCGTCCCCGTGGCCGGTCTTGGCGGCCGATACGGAAAACTCTGCAGCCTCTGGCAACACCATCAGTTTGACGCAGCGCGCAGTCAACCAGCAGCACGATGCGAAAGCGATTATCGAACACGTCCGAGAGGGTCGAGGAAACCTCCCAAAGCCGGTGATGCGGTTCATGGAGGCGGCCCTGAAGACCGCAGAGATGCTCACCATGATCAACCTGGATAGCGACCTGAGGCGCGAACTGAAGGAGTTAAGCGACCGCTCCCAGAGGGAGTTCGCCCAGCTACGACACGACGTCACCACAGTCAGGATCCAAACCGACCCCAAGAACACGCTCAGGTCCGTCTCCAGCGGAGGGACCTACGCAGACGCGATCCGCAGAGGGGTCGGACTACCGTCTAGCACGACGGCGCCGACCTCTACCACACAACGCACGGCAGGGACGGGGACCCCGGGGGTCTCCGCATACGAACTGGACAGGGACAGGGAGGTCATCGTCAAGCTCACTAGCCGCCACATCATCGAACGCCTCAGGGCCACGACCCCGCTAGATATCGTCAAGAAGGTGGAAGAGGCGCGGGTTGTGGCATCACGTGACCACAAGCCGCTACGCCGAGTCAAGGTTGTAGCGGCGAAACAGCTCCGGTCAGGAGACGTCAGCCTGGCCACACGCACCGCAGCCGAGGCGGAGACTATGCGGAGACATAGAGCCTGGCTGGGGACTTTCGGAGATAAGGCCGAAGTCAAGGTGCCAACGTACGGGAACGTGGTCGACGGCATCCCGATCAAGTCCATCAAGTTAAGCGATAAGGACGGCATCGAGAGCGCCATCGAGAATCTGAAGGCGGAGAACTATCACAACTGGGGACAAGTAGACATCAAGCATGTCGGTTGGGCCCCAAGATTGGCAAGCCAATGGGGGGGGTCCGATACACTGGAGAACAACGCACGTTTCTGGAAGCATTCCAGGCGGAGCTAACGAACCGCAGGCACCGGCTGAACCGCGCCGGCCGGCCGGAGCCCGACGCACGTTGGGAGGCTAGGAGAACCTTTATCCAACCCTCGTGGCGGGACCCGCCCAGGGTGGTAATTGAGGACCGCGAACAAGCGATTCAAACCTGCGCGCAGCTGGAAGCGCGAGGAGAGATCACTCTCTACACGGACGGAAGCGGATACAGGGGCCACGTGGGGGCGGCGGTTATCACGCCTAAAGAGAACGGGGTCCGGAAGAGGATCGGCCAATACATGGGCCCGGAGACCATCAGCAACGTGTATGCGGCCGAACTCCGAGGCCTACAACTGGCCACCACGTGGATCAGGGTCCTAGGGGTGGACAGGGCCAGGAGGAACGGAGAGGTGCACATATTCAGCGACAGCCAGGCTGCGCTGAAAGCCATGCGCGCCCCGAGGATGTCCTCTGGCCAGCAGATATTAGCCCTCCTGCTCAGGGAGGTCGAAGAGCTCCGCAAGGAGGGAGTCAAAGTCAACTACCACTGGATCCCAGGGCACGAGGGGGTCCGTGGCAACGAACGCGCAGATGAAGCTGCCAAGAAGGCGGCGGAAGACCAGAAGCAAACAAGCGGGCTGGTAGCCCTGGCGTCAGCGGCAAAGAGCCGCGCGCCAACTGACGAAAGAACGGTGGAGGAGACAGTGGAAGCAGCAACCGACCCTCGCTAAGCCAACTAAACGCCTTATACCGGAACCGACCAAGGCGTCTCTTAAGCTCTACGGGGGCCTCAGCAAGCCCCAGAGCTCGGCATTGATTCAGTTGCGCACGGGCCGGATCGGCCTAAATCACTTCCTATACAAGATCAGGGCGAGGGACTCAGACAGATGCAGCTGCAACAGGGGGTCGCAGACCCCGAAACACGTTCTATTCGACTGTGAGAGACTTCGCGGGCTCCAGCTCGAGCTCCGACAGAGGCTCAGGAAGCAGAGGGTGGCAGTCAACTGGGATGACTTTGACGCGTTGGTAAGCGAGCCCGCCGCGGCTCGCTACGTCGCTGACTTTATGATCAAAACGGGGCTCTTGAACCAATTCAACGAAGTCCCGCCAATCACAGAGTAGGAAGACGTTGGGGGAAGACGCTGAGTATGCAGAGCATGCAGGCTACGCGCGGGTATCACCCCGCAACACAAGCCGTATCACACATGCAGCCACGAGGAAGATCCGCGGCGATCCACAGAAGCCAGGTGAGGCCTGAGCAAGCGCAACAACCCACACAGACGCTATACAGAGGGCACCAGGCAGAGCCAGGTACAGCTCTACGGGGGGCTAAGGGGAACAGGGGGACGAAGCAAGGTGTGGTGCGCTTTTCGGCAAGCTTTTCGAGCACGTGACGTCTTGGCAACGACGTCAGGACCCGAGGCAAGTGGCGCAGGGTCAACACCATGTTTTGTGTCATTTTTGCATTTTGTACGTACATGAATAGCCTCCCTAGGAGCCTAGGGAACACCTGCACAGCAAGGCCACTAGTAAGGCCAGCTATATCAGGTTAATGAATTCTACTACTACTACTACTACTACCTTCACGCCCCCATGGGACCTGCATGACCATCGCCGCTCCGACGTGGCCCTTGTACCCGCTCCGATCGGCGTACAAAGTGATCTCACCAGTTGTCTCAACCTGCTTACATGTCTTGATCGCTTGTTCGCGATTCTTGATGACCACCGTGGGCGGGGTGCGCCACGGGGGCTGTATGAAGGCCCTCCTTGCCTCCCACTCCGGTTCGGGTGACGGGGTCGCGGGGCCTTCCCGGCCTTGTCGCTTCTTGCGGTTCGTGATCTCAGCCCAGAACGCTTCCAGGAACGTGCGTCGTTCTCCAGGCTCCCGGTAGCCCCCGGTGGGCCGTCCTATGATAGGTCCTGTGACCATGCGGAGCGCTGTCTCCTCCGCCCTCTGCTCCAACAGCCGGGGAATCGGGGTTAGGTGGAGCTCCACGTTGAGCGCGTCCCCAGCCGTGCCCTTAAAGGCCCCGCTGATCAGGACCGCCGCGCGTTTCTGCACACTCTTGAGGTGCTGGACGGCGGCCCTTCTTACCTTGGCACTCCCCGACAGCCTCCAGGGGTTGTACCACATCGAGGAGCAGTATAGGAGCTGCGGGACCACCACCCCACTGTAAATCTTGCGCATATTGAGCAAAGACGTGCCCCACGTGGACGCTGAGATCGATCTTAGCGCCTCGAGGCTGGCCTCTGCCTTCGTGACCATTCTTCTGCGGTGCTCCTCGAAGGTCAGTGCCGAGTCGAACCAGACTCCGAGGTATAGCGCCTCCTTGCTGGGTTGAATGATGACCCTGCGTCCTCCGTCCTCTATCATCATTCGTTCCCCGTTGGGCTTGGACTTTGCATGGTCCGGGCAGGGGAAGTGTATCAGCTGGTACTTTGCCGGAGCGAATACCGAGCCGTGTCTCCGGGCCCAGTCGCTCGCCCAGGGATATATATCCTCAAGCACGCGAACCGCGGCCCACTCCGAGGTCGCGACCGCGCGGATGTTAGCATCGTCAACCCAGCCATAGGCCTCGCTCGCTCCCCACCTGGATCGGTGTATGCATGCCTCCAGTAAAGGTGCGTTGTACAGTAGGTAGAGGATCAGGGACAGGGAGGACCCTTGTGGGATCCCCGTTGCCATTAGCATCCAGCCTGTCGTGACTTCCGCGAGGCGAATCCTAGTCCTCCTATTACTGAGGAAGTTCTCGATCCAGGGCACCAAGTGCCCCAGTCATCACTTCCGCAGGTTGAAAAGCAATCGCCTGTGCAAGACGTTGTCGTACGCTCCTGACACGTCCAGGAGCAGCATGCTGACGGACTTACCCTCACGCCACGCCTGCTGTATCCGGTCTATGATCCTGTATAGCGCTTGCTCGCAGGACAGGTGCCTCTAGGAGAGGAGACCGTGGGCCTCAACGGCATAGAGGATACACCTTGTTGTGAGCTACAGCTCAGGGAGTTGAAGATGTTGGTTGTATTCGCTATCTAGGCTACGGCCTGAAAGAAGAAGAAGAACGCCTTGGTGGTGGTGGCCAACGTGATCAGAACACGTGATCCTCGCCTACCAGCCAACCAGGCACCTCAACACACCTCGCAACCACTGACTCCAGGGCCTTGCCCAGCGTGTTAAATAATACTATCGGCCGATATAACTTCTGTGACGGCGGCTCTGTTTAGGATCATGTGACCACGTTTGTTTCGTTTGCTTTACTGTCGTTTTCTTCAAGCGAGCGCCCACAACACTTCTTGTTTTCCTTTTTTCCTCCTTATACTTAAAGTTCTAGAGTAGTTAGCACCAATACGACCTTTTTGCTGTGTTGAACGGCCGTCTCATAACTTTAAGCATCTTTCTTCATTCTTTTTCCATTGCTGTACACGGCCAGCTCCTGCCAAGCCGTCAGCAGTCCCCACCCCGCGTTCTTGGCGACGCCTAACGGCCAAAAGACCCACCCGACCGACAGAACGAACGAACGAAATGGCTAGAGAGAGTAGCCAGACTCCTGGTCCTAAGGACAACCGACGACTTTCCGCGATACTGCCTGATGAACCAGACTGGGAAGACGGGTTTGATCAGACCGAGTTCGATGACCGATACAAGAGAGACCCGAAGCGGACTTTTGAAGTCCTTCTAAAGATTTTTAATAACTTGGAGACTGAAAGAGACAACCTCCTCGATGAGCAAGACCGACAGAGCCAAGAGATAACTACTCTCACTCAAGAACGGGATGATATCGCTAGAGAGCGAGATGCTTTCGCAGTGCACGCTACCCGTCAGGCCCTGACCACTCCCCGAAGTGCAACTGTCCCCGAGCCCAGGAGAGCGATGAAGATCCCTGACCTGCCTCTGTTCAGTGATGGAAAGAACATCTCCTTTGAAGACTGGGTGCTGGCTATGTGTCAGAAACTGCAAGCCAACGCTGATCAGTTTGCTACCCCGGCAGTACGCAAAGCCTATATTACCAGCCGTTGCGAGGGTGATGCAAGGAGGCACTTGACACCCAGACTCCGTCCGAGCACGACTAATCCTTACGACGACGCCGATGACATGCTAGAACATTTGGAAACTGTCTTTACTGACCCTCACAAGGTTCGCAACGCCCGTCGCCAGTACCAAGGCTTACAGATGAAGACTGGAGACAAGTTTTACACCTTCATCTCAACCTTTCGTTATCTTGCAGTCGAAGCCGGAGTCAATAAGAGCGTCTGGAAGGACGACCTCTATAGTAAACTCCCTATCAAGCTTCAGGATCTCACTGCGTACAGCTACTATAATGAGGACTTCGAGGAATTCGTGAAGCAATGCGCCAACTCTGCAGATGTGATTGAAGAACAAATCAAGAAACGTGCTAAAAGCAACTTTACAGCAGTCGGAGGTCATACTGAGTCCCGTACACCCCGTTCTCCTGCTACCACTTCGAGTGCTGTAAGCACTTCCTCCAAACCCCCGACCCGAGCTTCTAGTATGGAACCAGAGACTAGGGAGGCACTGATGAGAGATGGAAAGTGTTTCTACTGCAAGGAGCCCGGCCATAGGAGCAGAGAATGTCCTAAGAAGAAGACTATGCAGGTGAAGGCCCTGGAAGCTCCCGCGGAGGAACCCGAATCAACAAAAGACAACGCCTAGGAAAAGTCTCCATCTTGGGCGAGCTGGAAGCTCAAGCAAGCATAGTGAACCTACGAGACCTGCTAGGAAATGATAATGATAGTTTTATAATCACCACTCTATTCTCTAAAGACGGCATTACCATCCCTGCTCGTATGCTTGCTGACTCCGGAGCCAATGCCTACTCGGTAATAGATACTCAGTTTGCTATTAAATTAGCCCGACACTTTAAAATCCCAACGCTGCCTTTAAAGAAGGCAACCCCAGTCACAGGCTTTGATGGAAAACGGACTACTGATTTGACACATGTGATCTGATTGAATCTTACAGTCAACGGCCGCCAAGTCCTGAACACCCCCTTCCTCATACTGGACCTGGGAAGGCATAATGCTATCCTCGGAAAGATGTGGTTTGCCAAACATAATGTCTTACTGGATTACCGGAATCGCCGACTGATCTAGCCGAGCTAGCTGACATTAGAGGATGAGATGAAAGCTGGACTTCTCACGAGTGTTTCCCAGACCATCCTGGAGCGGTCCCCGGTGGATCGCAAGCATCAACAAGACGCAGCCCGGAGGGACCATAAGATGCAGTTAGAAGATAAACGGCCAAAGCCTCTACAACCACTACCAATCCTTCCCCGTACTAACCGAAGCAGCCCGTGCGAGGCCCTGGCAAAGATGGAACGCAACCTAGGTGGAGAAAACTACTAGTATCGCCTTCCCCCCGGAACCTTGAAGCCCGAACCAAAGCCTGCCCCGATCAGACTCCCCTATGGAGAGATAGCTCTTATTAGAGCGGCTGGCTTCCAACGACATCTGAAAAACTCAGAGACAGAGATTTTTATTACCTTACTCAACGCTATCGAGAAGGCTCTCGCAGAGAAACTGGAGATTCCACGTACAAGTGAAGAGGATGAGATTAAGAAGGTCCTTCCTAAGCAATACCATGATCTAGTGGATGTCTTCTCTGAGAAGGAATCCGACACGCTACCTCCATCCCGGCATTGCGACTATAAGATTCAGTTAGAGGGTGAGAACCCTCTAGGCACCGCTCCTCTCTACAAGATGACAATAGAAAAGCTGCAGGCCTCCCGCGATTATATCATGGAGAATCTGGATAAAAGATTTATTATACCAAGCTCCGCACCCTTTGCATCCCCTATTCTGATGGCCCGAAAGCCTGGAGGAGGCCTCCGTTCTGCGTGGACTATCAAAAACTGAATGCTTTAACTAAGAAGGACCTGTACCCCCTGCCTTTTATTGATGAGATGATGGACCGCCTGCGCAATGTAAAACTCTTTACTAAACTTGACATATGACAGGGCTTCCACCGGATCAGAATGGATCCTGCTTCAAAAGATCTCACAATCTTCAAAATGCGACATGGCCCGTTCAAGTATCGAGTCCTCCTGTTTGGACTTACTAACGGATCCGCTGCCTTCCAACGGCTCATTAACGAAGTCTTGATGGAGTATTTAGACAAGTTTGTCATGGCCTACATTGATGACGTGTTGATTTACAGTGATAACGCGGCTGAGCATGAGCTGCACGTGCGTTTAGTGCTTGAGAAGTTGCGAGCCGCGGGCTTACAGGCTGCTATTCATAAATGCGAGTTCCACGTTATAAAGACCAAGTTTCTTGGGTTTATCATTGCCACCGATGGTATCCGGGTGGACCTAATGAAGATTACTGTTATCACTGAGTGGGTGACCCCGACAACTGTACGCGGAATTCAATTATTTTTAGGCTTTTATAACTTCTACCGAAGGTTTATCAGAGCCTATAGTAGAATAGCACGACCCCTGACACGACTGACCCGAAAAGATGTTGTCTTTGACTGGGATCATACCTGTACTGAAGTCTTCAAGGCACTTAAGGAGGTGTTAGTCTCGGCCCCTGTTCTGGCCTACTATGATCCCACGCTTCCTACTCGTGTTGAAACGGATGCCGCTGATGGAGTCATTGCGGGGATACTCTTATAGGTAGCAAATGGAGCTTGGCATCCAGTAGGCTATTTCTCTAAGATTATGTCCCCTGCGGAACATAACTACGACATTCATGACAAAGAACTACTAGCGATCATTCGTGCCTTGGAGGAATGGCGGCCGGAGTTAGAAGGGCTCCAGCGTACAGACTGTTTCAGTATCCTGACTGACCACCGAGTCTTGGAGTATTTCATGACTGTGAAAGGAGATCACGTGATCTCGGACCTAGCCACCTAGTCACCTCCTCCTCGCGTAGTTAGCTAGGCAACACACACTCAATATCATCAATATTGCTGTCACAGGTTATGAGCCCTCGTGGCAACGAATCATCAAATATTCATTTTCCCTATCTTTTTTTCATCGTTTTTGCGCGTTGTTCATCGAATAGCATCCTCCTCAAGGCTTTTTACACCTCAAATCGCTACTATACGCGGTTTCGCGGGTAGGAAAGCCTCCGCGGCGATCCAGTCAGCTTGGCATCCAGGCTTGGCACCTACCGACCAACCAGACCTCCCACCACGCGAGCGGCGTGGCCGAATGCTTACAATGACACCATCCAAAGACCCATTCAACATCGACGTCTCCAAAGCCATTCCTAAGCTTAAAGGCCAGGCTAACTGGTTATCATGGTAAAGGAACCTACGAAACTACCTACGCTCGCGTAACCCAGACGCGTGGGAGCTACTCTAGGATAAATATACTCTTCTAAAAGAACTAGTTCTTTACTCCGAGGATGAAGACGAAAACATGCGTATACTGGCTGTTCGTGCTGGTGATGGTGGTACTCTATCTACTAAAACAGACCTGTAAAATAGCATTAAACAAGCTAAATAACGCAACCACACTTTGCTCACTACATATAACTCTAATTATAGGAAGTAGAAGTAGTTAAATTACTCTATACTTGTAATTCTCAATACTACATGCGAAGCCAGTCCCACAACACGTTTCCAGAACTATGACTCTACACTAGAAGCATATATCCTTCTCCAGAAAACATATGAGACCTCCAACTTTACTACAGTTATCTATCTATACAATAAATAGATATTTATTCACTACAATAATACAAGCAGTCAAGAAACCTTTCTTATATACTACGCGGACATCCTCAACGAGCTTCGCGGCATTAAGATTATTAATGATTATACTAAACTCCTGCAGTTCTTTATAGCTATTTAAAATATGCTTATCTTACAGCCATTTATTACAAATCAGTATATAACACTAATAGAAGACACGATCCCATCATCTGTATATACTTAATTTATGCAGTTTAAATATACACACAAGAATCAGTTCTCCTAGCTGACTACATATGCGGTCAACAACAAGCCTCAAGACAACATCAAGAATACTAATAACAACACCCAAGGCAGTGATCGCGGCGGTCGCGGCTGTGGACACGGGCGTGGCTGTGGACGCAGTAATGCCCGTGATTATGGTAAAGATTAAATAAATACCTCTGTACAGTATAAAAGAGAGCAACTTAATATTATTGACAGGAATACTATATGGTATACCTTCCATAAATATTATAGAAATCACTTTCCAAGTAAGTACTCATTGAACCCGAATAAGAAAATAACCACAAATACTCAAGTAAATGTAATTATTACACCTACTCTATCTGTACCACCATCGGGAACACCGTCAGCCAACGCGATCAACATCGATTTTGACTCTCTCGATGCCTGCGCCGCATCGGTTCGCTTTAATACTGCTACCGTGGCTCAAGAAGACCAACACCCGAACCACTCGCACGATTGGATGCTCGATTCTGGGACTGTTGAAACAATGACTTACTCAAAGCACCATTTCACATCCTTTACTCCCTGCGTACGCACGGCCAAAACCGCTACTGATGAGGCCTTCCAGACTGTTGGCTACGGCACTGTTTCGATCGAATTAGCGGACAAGCAGAACAAACCTTGTGGACTCTTGGAGATTGACCGCGCTTAGTACGCGCCGGCGCTCTCACATAATCTCATTTCGTGTAAGCAGCTGGCGCGCCAGGGTGTTCGTACACATATTGAGACCAAAGAGACCACTATTCTTATTCAACACAGCAAGCAGATTAGCTTCACTACTGCTAAAGATGCTCAATATTTCCTACATACAACCAGCACCACAAGCCGCAAGGCAATTCAGGGTCTGTATCTCTGTGGTGCCCTGACACGCTCGCCACTCTCCAACCTTACTATCAATACTATCAAAAAGACAGCTCCTCCACTAATTTCAATCCATCTCGCGCACCGCCATACAGCTCATGCCTCCGAACGAAAGATTCGTGACTCCGTTAAGCATGTTATTGGCTTTAATATCAAGAAAGACACCCTACCAGCGCCCTGCGAACCCTGCCTCCGTGGAAAGGGTCAAGCACTACCTGTCTCCCACACTGAGCCTCGTGACCTTGGTCTACGCGTTAGAGATCTTATTCACACAGATGTCTGTGGACCGCTACCTACACGCGGCCAAACTAGCGCATACTACTTCATCACTTTTACTGACCATGCCTCCCGATACTGCTGGGTGTTCCTACTCAAGGAACGTAGCGAGGTACGTGACAAGTTTATCACTTTACAGAACTACCTCAAACGCTAGCTAAACATCAATGTTAAATGTGTCCATAGTAATAACGCGCCTGAACACCAACCACTTGCAGCCTACTGTTAAAAACAAGGTATCATCTGGGATCCTGCTCCGCGCTACCACTCAAATCTCAATCCTATTACTAAGATTAAGAACCGTTATCTAGTTAAACCTTACATATTAGTTATAGCGGATAACTAGTTATCCTGTTTCCTATAGAATCATATCATCCTCATAATCAATTACATACAGAACAGACTCATACACAGTACCATCAGGAAGACTCCCTATAAAGCCTTATACAGCGTGTAACTAGATATCTCACAGTAAAAGATCTTTGGCTATCATTGCTAACATCTCACTTCTAAAAAGACTCGTGATAAGCTTAAGGATCATATACAGGAAGACTATTTTATTAGATACTCTAAATCAGTCTACAAGATTTATAATATTTAAACTTATCAGATTATATACACTCATGATATTATCTTTAACAAAAAATCTATCTTATAATTACTATTAACAATATCTATATACAATCTTGATTCCGCACGCTATAATAAAACTAACATAGAAACTCCAGTCCAGGAAGATCCTCGTCACTAGTTATTATTTAATATATCTTCTTAATATCAGCAGCCTATTCCTATTACTTTTTCTAGCTATTTTACTGTAGACAAGCAGGATAACAGCAAGAAACCAGACTAGTTACTAGAATATAAATAGACTAGTGTACTTCCACCTTTATTTATAATTAATAATATTATCCACAACACTACACTTGAACCAGTAGTTATTATCAAAGATAACAAGTCTAGAGACTAGCTAGTTCTTATAAATCCTCCAGCCACCAGTACCTCCCGTACAGAACCCACTACTTCTAACATAGAACCATCATTAGTGACTAAACAGCTACTATATCATTCCACATACATTCACAAGCCCTCGCGCGCGCTCTTTAAGTCCCTGGAGACTCATATTATTAGTGTAAATAATAATCCAGACATGAATATTGATATTTTTTATAAATTACTCATTAATAACTATCTCACTGGTACCCTGTTCCTGGAAACTACAGCTATATAGTATCCTACTAGCCCGTAGGCTGGGAAGGCTATCTCTACCAAGAGGCCAATATCTCAAGATACTAGCTATACTTCTACCTTATATACTGATACTATAGCCTGCGTTAAAGCATCTAAATAACATAAAGCAGTATATTATAAAATATAGGAACAAATTAAACAAGGCATTTTCTATATAGTTCTACGTTCCCATAATACGCATTTTCTTCTACTTAAATAAATGTTTAAAATTAAGCATGACAGCATTTATAAGGCCTGCCTTATTATTAAAGGCTTCCAGTAGCATGCTAGTAAAGATTATTAGATTAAAGAAATATACACAGCCGTTGCTAAGAGCATCAGCTTCAAGACTTTTATTACTCTGGCTACTAAACTTCATTAGATCTTACATTATCTTAATATTATTATAGTATTTCTCAACACTGAACTATGTGAATTGATACACATCAAGTTACTGGACAGCTTCTAGAAAAATAGTATGTACGGCGAACTTCTCAAGTCACTATATAGTTTAAAATAAGTATTACGCGAGTAATATAACATATTTCATGACTTCTTAGTGGTTAATAGTTTTAAATACTTACATACAGATCATTCCGTGTTTATAGGAAAAAGTCTTTTCATACTTGTTTACATCAATAATATTCTCCTACTCATGCTGGATGGCACTATGGTTAACATCTTTAAAACACTACTTACTAAGCTTGTCAAGTTTACTAATAATAATCCCTATACCCATTTCCTAGATGTTAATATTATATAAGTAAATAAAGATATTTATCTCTTACAGAAATCATATATATAAGACTGTTTAAAGCGCTTTAGTCTTTCTACTTACAAGACTTCTTCCATACTATATAACTCTAAGAATCCTTTATTAAAATATAATGGAACAGTAGATCCTAATAATATTAAAGCATATTAGGAATATAATGGTGCACTTATTTAGATTATAGTTAACACATATCTTGATATTACGTATGTAATAAGTAAGCTATTATCCTTTATAAGTAACCCCGCTAATCTACATCTTCAGGCAATAAATCTTATCTAGTACTATCTCACTGGCTTCCTTAACCACTACTCCTTCTACCATCGCGGTGGATCTGGACTTATTAGTTTCTGTAATACTGACTAGGCTAGTCCCTATTCTCTTAATATAATGTTAATCTCCGGCTATATATTCTAACTCACTGGAGGGCCCATTTCATGGAGTTTAAAGAAATAAACTATTATCATGCTATCTTCAACTGAAAGCGAGTATATCGCGCAAGCAGTAATAACGCAAGAATTAATCTAGCTCTAACTACTATTCACTAAACTAGACATTCAGCGCTTCAAAGCTATATTTATTTTAATAATTTATTCTACAGTCATTCATGCAGATAACCAGTCTGTTATTACTCTAACCAAGAATCCCGAGTTCCACGCCCGCATGAAACATATCTCCATTAAATAGTACTTCATACGTCGTGAAGTATGCGTAAAAAATATCAAATTTATCTATATTAATACGACCGAACAAGCAGCCGACGGTCTCACTAAGCCGCTTGAATATCTTGCTTACTCCCGCTTTATCAAGTAACTCAGCATAGTGGATCATGTCTGAAATTGTATCTAATATTTCTGTATCTATATGTCTTTTACTTCCTGTTTAGAAAACGTGAACAACCTCATGTCTTCCTCCTTTTGTATGTAACGTTGCTGACTACGTCCTCGCTCATGGGGGGTGTGAAAGGAGATCACGTGATCTCGGACCTAGCCACCTAGTCACCTCCTCCTCGCGTAGTTAGCTAGGCAACACACACTCAATATCATCAATATTGCTGTCACAATGACCACTAAGAGACTGAACGCCCGTCAGGCGCGATGGGCCGAGTTCCTCTCCTGATACTATTTCTTGATCCGATTCCGCCCCGGGAAGCATAATGCCTTAGCAGATGCGCTAATCCGTAAGGATGGTAGCGAGTGAGCCCCGACACAACACCGCGAGCAAATCCTATTATTCCTGGAATGTTTGGAGAACGGAGTATATCCCTTCCTAATAGTTTCTGAATCACTAACCATCCTCGCCCCCGTACAGGAACACCTGCAGGTCATAGATCGACTTCTAGCAGCTAACCGGAACCATCCTTTCCTAGAGCCTTACCGGGAAAGAGCCCGTCGTGGCGAAGGGGGATACATCCTGGAAAATGGACTTCTACTCTTCAATGACCTGTTAGTGGTCCCGGACGATAGGGACCTACGCACCCGACTACTGGATGAGATCCATCGTCAACCATCGTTTGCACACCCAGGTCGAACAAAGATGCTAGGTCTTGTGAAATACCGATACTACTGGAACACCTAGAATCAGGACATACGTCGTTACTTAGACAACTATTTAATCTGCAAGCGGAAGAATATATAACGGGATCTTCCCCCAGGACTCCTGCAACCTCTACCGATCCCGGACCGCCCAGGACAGCATTTGTCAATGGACTTCTGAACATTCCCAAAGGACCGTCATGGTTTCGATACTGTGTTTGTTGTAGTAGACCGCCTGAGTAAACAGGTTACTTCAATACCATGCACAAAGACTGCGTCCACACAAGACATGGCCCGGCTCTTCCTGGAGCACGTGTACCCTTGGTCAGGACCCCCGGACACGATCGTATCGGACTGAGGAGGACAATTTATATCAGAGTTCTGGGACGAGTTGTGTCGTATACTGCAAGTGAAGCTCAAGCTTTCGACAGCATATCATCCTCAAACTGATGGGCAAACTGAAATCGTGAACCAGTATACTGCGCAAAGACTTATCCCCTTCGTGAATCATTATCAAGACAACTGGTCGGAACTCTTACCACTGATCAACTTTGCCTTTACAGCCCTGCCCCAGGAATCCACGGGACTGCCACCCTTTATGATTGAGCGAGGATACGAGCCCCGTACCTCCTTCGACTGGACACCTCCCCGGACCCCTGTCACAGACACCGTTAACCGGCAGCAAGCCCGAGCCCTGGCCCGCCGTATGGAGCAGATATGGGATCTAGTAAAGGGAGGCATGCGAGTCGCTCAACAAGCCCAGACTCGTGCAGCTAACTGATAGCGCCGGACTGTGAATTTCGATGTAGGGGACGAAGTTTATGTTGATGCTAGAAACTGGCATTGGGGCCAATCCTCCCAGAAGCTGTCAGAAAGCTGGTATGGCCCAGTGCTTATTATAGAGAAGGTCGGCCATGCGTACCGAGTTCAATTACCCGATAGTATAAAGGTCCATCCTATCTTCCATCCTGACAAGCTTCGACTTCGTGGCACCTTAGAGCCCCTGCCTGGGCAGATCTTGGACCAAGCTCCCTCGATTGAGGTCGATAACCACACTGAATGGGAGGTGGAACAGATCTTGGAAAATTGCCTTCACGCAGGAACGCTACAATACCGAGTTAAATGGGTAGGTTCGGACGAAAATGACCGTGAGTGGTATCCCGCTGGTAATTTTAAGAATGTACCTTTCCGTTTATGTGACTTTCATGCCTGTTATCCGGACCGTCCCAGACCACCTAGACGACTCCCCATATAGATCACAGCCGCGGAGAACAACAAATTCGCTGCGGATCATGATGATGACAACGTTCCCCTGACTGAGGGCAGTCAGGTCTAAACGGGGGGGTGATGTGACGGCAGCCTCGTTCAGGATCATGTGATCACGTTTGCTTTGTTTGCTTTACTGTCGTTATCTTCAAGCGAGCGCCCACAACACTTCCTGTTTTTCTTTTTACCCCCTTACCCTTAAAGTTCTAGAGTAGTTAGCATCAATACGACCTCATTTTGTTGTGTTGAACGGCCGTCTCAGTGTTTCTCCTGAATAATTGAAGCGATATTATTAGCTGAATGATTCTGATGGAATAAGTTGATAATCTCAGCCTTAAAAGGCTCAAGGTCAATGAAAGGAGGCATGATAGATAAAAGAATATAAGATCCTACGTACAGTGTCATTCTAGTTCTTTTTAAGGATGCGGTAGACTAAGTGGTGAAAGCACTTCAATGCATTTGCAGGATGGCCGCTATTGCCCGCCGTAGTCCTCTTCTTCCGTAAGAAGGCGCCATCTGAGAGTCTCGAGGGGCCACGGTTATCCTCGGATCAGCTTATCGATGCCTGTGCTCTTCCATGAGTGAATTCATCCTGCGCAGGAACGGCTCCGCCGACCATGCCTATATACAATGTGAATTCAAGTCACGTCATCGGTCTCATCTCTTTCACTGCGCCCATCTCGCACGCCTACATTGTTGACCCTGGTGGAGTGATCCTCCCGTGTCCTGTGAATATCCTGCCTTTCAAGCAGATGGCATAGTTAATGCCCCCTTGTGGGTATGCCGATTCGTGCTTTCCAGAGCCGGGGGGGAATATATATTGTCGGATGCCTGTGTACTTCTGCCCTCCTCTTCCATTCCTTCTCCACTCGGTTCTACAAATTTGTGTCTCCTGCTTCCGCGAACCAGCTGCCGACTGATCCCATTTCAAACAGAATGGCGCCTCTGTGGCAGTGGATGATGGTCTGCCTGCCTCTCCTGTTGCTCGTCCTCCCCGCGGTCGATGCCGGCCATCCTGACTGGGAACATGCGCGGTTTTCTACTCCCGACTGGATTTCTATCAGTCCTCACGCCAGCGAGAGTACCCTCTGGCCCGAGTCAACCATTCCGCTATGCTACGACAGCGAGGAGACGCAACACCGATATCATGACCTCCTCTGGGCCGCGATGCGATTGTGGTATGCCGCCGGCTTGTCCGAGCGTTTCCGACTGCTGGAAATCAATCGACTGAGTTGTATCCATCATCCTTGGGATTCCTTGTATGTCGAGGAGACGCGTGACGTCATATCCAGCGATGTCGGCCTGCCAATCGCCAGCATGATGGATGTTCCCGACGCGCCCCCTCTCGAGAAACCCAAGATAATGGTGCACACGAAACCCGATGTGGTGTGGACGGTCATGACGATTGCTCACGAGTTGGGACATGCTTTCGGACTCTTACACGAGCACCAGAATCCCTCATTTTGGGGCCCGGATTCCAGCGATATGGTGTTTCGCTTCAACTGTGACAACCTCCGGGATTTCGAGGAGGTCACCAAGGATTTGGACGCGGAGCAAGTCTGGGGAAAAGGTGGTGTCTGTAAAGACAGGGAAGCGGCATCGAACATTGGCTTTAGCGCTCTCAATTTTCTTCCAGAGAAGGTCTCCGAGGTGTACTCACCCCACCCATACGCGGGGCACCCCGGCCTGGTCGATTGGGACTCTATTATGCTATACAGTCCGCTTACGGGTAGTAAACATGCAAAGCAGCCAGTCCTTACAAAATGGGATTACTCTACATGGCATGAGAACCTGACCCCCAGTCGAAAGGATGTGGCCGGGTTGAAGTTCATTTATGGTACCCCGTGGGCCAGGGCAGCAGTGCCGTTTTGGAATGATATTCGGAGCCCTCACTTTGCCATGTTTCGAAAGTTCACTTCCTGCCACCGTTGACCGGAGCATTAGTGGGTCACCGACGGGGATGCTGTTGGGGGGTGGGGAAGGTCACTTACTGGCCCCGGCTGGATCATGAAGACGAAGGGGGTTTTTTTGTACTTACGGTGATGATATCAGGTTGAAAGCCCGTGAATTTCATATGCACTTGGTGATGTGCCGTGCGAGTAATTGCACCAGTAACTGTGAGTGGCCGTGAGTGACGGTAGAGATGGAAATCACTGGAAGAGGAACGAGAAGTGAAATGATGGACCCCCAGCAAGTAAAGAGTCGGTAACTAGTAGCTAGTAATGCTTTATTTGAGGCCAAGCACCACGTGGCTCTAGTCTAGCTCATTGTTCTGCTAGAGGTGTGCGACCAGGAGCCGACACCCTAGACGATATGAATGTGAGATCGGCAGATGTTGTCGACGAGGTCATTGATCACTCTCTGGGGCACGACAGACTGCGCTCTGGCGATCTGATTTCCCTTCGGCGTGCCGAAAAATCGAGAAGGACGTCGAGAAAAGGGCATACCGGGATGTGGTGCGTGAAAGGGCCTGCACAGACTGTTGATAGGTTTGGCCGACTGGCAGCTGATGCTTAGGTTGCTTAAGGAAGGGTTATCTAGCTTGGACTTTCTTGAGATTATTTGTCCTTGGGGAATCTCTTCAAGATATTCCTGTGGCTATGTTTCTGCCCGTTCTGGAAGCGGTCCTAAGGAACCTTTTTAAGCAAACATTATTCTACGGAGTATACCGTCGCCGGAAGCTGGGTTTCAATTCTTCTATAGTAAGCATGTAGGACCCCCCCCCCCCCCCCGGATATGCCTCCGCTCTCAAACGCAATAGCGCGTTGTTTGTTCGAGCAGTCAGGCGTACCGGGTATTGTTACGATATGATGATCGAGGTGAAAGGCGCCCATAGAGAGGAGGCGAGGCCAGATGAAGACCACGAAGGAAAGGCGCCAGGTGATCTGCCTAGCTGCAGTGAAGAATGAGGGGATCACCCGCGCAGCCAAGAAACTGCCACTTGCCATGTTCACCTGCTCCCTGGCTAGGCTCGGTCGGACCAGTATTGAAGTAAATAGCGCCCCAGCATGGCTGATCGTTTCACCATCTTACTGTCGCGAGTGCTAGGTACGATGCTTGAATAGGGGAGATGCAGTCTTCACGGTATCGTGCTTCAAAGTGTGGTCTTTATAGTTGCGACATACCATTCTGTCCAGCTATTCTACACGCGTGAATTTACGGTTCTCGGGATTTAGTAAGTAACGAAGGACTAATTGACCAGGTGTCTACCAATGATAATGCGGTGGAAGGTAATAAAGCGGGACCGAGATCTAGAGCGTTAGTAGGATCATCGGCTGATTCCCGTCCTCAAGGATTGTCTGAGAGTGCCTGTTAATCCCGGAGAATTCATGGTTGTTGGTGTGGTTGTGGTGACGGCGCGCACCCTTCACATAACCCAGCACCTGATGAATGAAGGAGGTTAGCCGTTTCTGAGAAGATTCATTCGTGAGGCCTTGTTGCCAATGGGTCAATAAACTGCACGCCATAATGTCTTCAAGGGAGGTGACCATTGCGAAATGGAATCATGCGCTTCGGCCGAACTGTTGGATTCCTTCACTTCGGCCAGTCTCTTGTTGGCTAGTGGCAAGTAGCGGATAAGCCCGGCATGTCCTGTTTATAGCAGGAATCAGCACGGGTTCAAAGAGCGGGAAAGGCAATATAATGGCGATATCATACCAAAGACTCCTCGGTCCGCCAATAACACCTATCAGCAAGATAAGTCATTAGATTTGTAGTATCTCCAACGGAAACTAGCTTGGAGTCCGATGAAAGTTTGCAGGCGAGTCGACCGCAGAGGGAGGTCAAACCACTGGCATGTGAGCTATTTAAGTTGTGTCATTGCTACCTATCTTCATACCGGGAAAGCTCTTTCTGCCTGTTCTCCCATCATCCTTGTCGCTTGGAACTAACACTATCCACACCACACCACGTGGAATCATGTCCACCGAACCTTCGCAACAAAGCGAGAATTTTCAAGGCTATCGATGGACCTTTTATTCGGAACTGCATGGTTTCAGCAGCAAGGTAGCTGACAGAGTCCTGAAGACAGCGAAATGGGATGCCTTGATTCAGCGCGCGACTGAGAAGAGAAGCGGAATGAAGTGCAGGCTGCTACCCGCCATTGGGATGGGATATAACCACATGATCCGGATCCTAGAGTTTGCGGATCGGGTACAATGGGTGGCCAGACTCCAGATGCCAGATCTGTATGACGGATCAGCGAAGGCACAAGGAGAAATGGAATGTGAACACATGACTTTTCGCCTGGTCCAAGAAAAAACCAAGATCCCCGTTCCGAAAATTCATGTCTGCGAGGACGGCCCCAGCTCCAGTGCTGGGGTGCCGTTCATGCTCATGGATTGTCTTCGAGGCAATGTGGGAGCGGACCTGGCGTTAATAATTCCCCATGAGCACGAGGTGAAGGTTTATACGGCCATGGCGGAAGCACACATTGAGATGTTCAATATCAAGCTGTCGCAAATCGGAAGGATTGTTGGGGAAAATAACGATGGCTCGTATCGACAAGGGCCCATCCCTGGCATTGGTGGTCCTTTCGACACTGCTGCGGAGTACTTCAGAGCCTGGGCCACCCATACGAAATTCAGATTGACCCCAGATCAACTCAGGGCCCTCTCGGGTAAATATGCCGATGAGGTAGAATCCTCGGTGAAAGCTTTCCCAGCACTGATAAAGGAGAATGCCGACTAGCTGTCGGTAAACAATACATGCCCATTTGGACTATATCATGGGGACTTTGGCCATGCCAATGTCGTGTTCGACGACAACTACCGCATGCTTGGTGTCATTGATTGGGAATTGGCATATGCAGCACTATGTGAGATTGCCGCTCAATTTCCCCTGGCTGTTCCGGGAACTGTCCCTACTCTTGATTTTTCGCAGCATTATGACGATAATGGCGATCGGAAAGACGCGGATCTCAAAAAAGGTTATGCTAGCAGGGAACGCTACATTGCAATCGTGAAACAAATTGAAGAAGAACAGGGGTTCACTACAGGATACCGGCTGTCATCTGCACTTGAGAGCTCTCAGCGGCACCATATGGCCTGTGCAATCCCCCTCTTCGAGGATGGCAGGGCGGCGTTTTACTCCAAGGTGATGGAAGGATTCTGCGGAGATGAGTGATGTCTTCTTTGACAGGCTGCTTCATTCATATCCTGTCCGATTCCTGGATGGTAATCAGAGGATTCTCATGTAGGAAGTGCCTACAGAGGAAATTCACCCGACGGGTCCCTCAGATGTCCTTGAGAGGGATATGTGAATAGTATCGGTTAATATCCTGAGGTTAGATAGCCAGTCCTTCCGCAAATTAACTCTTGTTCAGCTGTCCTCTAGGATCAACAATAGTACAATAGGCTCTTACTTTAGCATATGGAGATAGGCGAGAGACTGGTTGCACAGGTGCTGGATGCTTGGTCAAACCTTTGCTGCAAAGGACATATAGTGGCTGTTGGAAGGCTGGCCGGGGTGATTCGTTAAGGTGCCTGGAGATTGTTGATTGTTAATGCGCCCATCCGTGCTCGAGTGATCATTATTCCCTGTGATTCGAGGCCTTGAGGCAGCGAGTGAGGGAGAATGCCATGGTCACGGCATTAAAGCTATCCGTCTAGCTATTCTTTCTACCCCCCTCTAAGTGTACCAGATATCCTTGGCCACCTGTATGCAGTTTTAAGGACGCGCCTAAGGATTATTGAAAGTGTGGCGTCGTGCGTTTTGCAATAGAAGGCGATCTGAGCACTATTTTGGAGTTTAGAATGCTGCTGGCGGGCCCCGGCCTTCTGCTTAGTGGGATGGACTGCCTCGACGATATCGGCGTTAGTAAGATTCGCCCCAAAAGCGATCTCGGTGATGAGCTCACAGAGGAAATGTCTCCAAAGCGTTGTATGTGAGGCGGAGGGTCAGAACTAAGATCAATATCCTCGAGGGACTGCCGGTCACCAGAGTCCAGCAGGACCGTGTAGAGCGAGGGTGAGATTGTCAAAGTACGGACACTGAGCGCTAAATCCCCGAGAGAGCAATAACCAGGACAATCTTCTGTCTGTGTCGAATAAAGCGAGGGGCGCCTCATGCCTGTCCAGCATGGAAGGGATGCTGAGGGTCTCAACTAAGAGGGTGTCATACTCCATCGGCCCGATGGCCGCTATAGCCGGGCGCTAGCGATTTGTCATGCCTGAGGCCTACACAAGCGCGGACCACGTGACCCTCACTCTTGTCGCTTACGACTAGCGCGAGTCACCGCCCACCCGAAATCCTATAAAAGGGCCTCTCCCCCCGAATGTTTCGAAAATTAAGCGACTCTACGTGAGTGACCCCCACCCCCTACATTGGCAATGCGCCTCTGGCAACCAAGAAGGAATGCCTGCTAACAGTTCCGTGTGCAGTTCAAAGAATCACTTTAGAGTAGACGTCCCACCTCTGAGCTCTTCTAAAGAGCCACAGAATCTCCACCCTTGCTGATGACTTCCATGTCCTCGACGCCCTAAAGTGAAGCCGTTTTACTTCCGCCTCGACCTTGCATTTGTGCGCCCTGTTACGATCGATCTTCGGATGGACTTGTTTCGGGTGCCGGTACAATGGTCCAGGGAGTGGTGATGATCTTTACCTTGCCATGATGTCTTGACTTCGGTCGGTCGGGCTTGGTGGGTGTCGAGGAGGTCTGAAAGGTGTCCCCTCTTGTTACACTTTGATGCTGGTGTTCTAGAGTCTGGAGTTTGCTCGATCTTAGCTAGTCGAAAGATGCCCTTTGCAATTGAATCGTCCTATTTCTAGCCTACGCTTGTACTGCTCATCGTACAGTCCGTCTCGAAATCGCTCTGACCTCCTTGGAACCGAGGGCGGCCGTAAATTTCTTAGTGGATCAATTTATGCATATCTACTTATCCGCCTTATTAATCTTCATAAGCTGCCTTTCGCCTCTCAATCGTAAGACTCAATAGGAAGAATGAGACCCACTAGTTACGTGTGCACATATTATTATGGAACTATGCAGACTGTCAACCGTGCATAACCCTGGAAGATCTCCATGGAAGACCATGGAACTGTTTTCGCAGAACCAGGAAACTGCTGTCCGTGGTCCCTCCATCGATGCCATGTGTCAATAACTTCCCCTTTCTGTCATCCACGTATCTGTGCCTTGCAGGTCATACGGCGATTGATAGAAGCACAGTACGTTCCATGTTGACTGATGAGACAGAACAGGATATCTGTGTGGCCAAATTCTTTGTGGCCCGCACCTGTCTCACAGACATCAAGAGTTCATTTGTAGTTCACTAGCAATTTGATTGGGTGCTAAACCAACAGGACAACAGGCAGGGGGCTGCAAACGGAGAGTCAGGTACATGGCAGCGATGGAACACTTGACGACGTATTCGGATAGGGGCTGTTGAGAACATGTCACTCAGCTTATCCTTCACGGCAAAATGTACCACACCAAGGGCCAAAACGAGAGGACGGCTGCAATATACAGAAGACGAATTCTGTTAGGGCTGTAGAAGCGTTTGGGTGTAGCTGATTCGGGCGACATCTGTAGGAGTAGTTTGGTGAGTGTATGCTGGGAACCAAGTCGATCAGGGTGCTGTTCAGCTAGTGTTCTTTCTCGGACTGCAACCACATGCTCCAGAAGCTCCACTGCCTGCTTTATCTGTCCATTGTCTTGATATGCCACCGCGAGCATATGTTG